TGTTCTTCCTGAAGCCTCAATTTGTGGTGTTTTTTTTTTTTTTATATATTTTGAGGGCAGCAGGCTGCTTGCTTCTTTGATGATACTTCTGGGGCAAAATGTCCCTAAGGAAAAAAAGCAAGCCAAGAAAGAAATGAATTTTTCCAATATGTGACCAAAGGTTTCAAGAGCCTGTAGTTAAAGTCAGGAGGAATCACTGATATACAGTACTCCTGGCTTTCAGGTGGCTCCTTTGAATGCTCAGGTATGATCCTAACAGCACTAGATATTATTAGGCAGCAATTTTTTAAAAAGTTTCAGCTAGAATACTTGCACTCCTGTGTAAGGGTGATTGGCTTCATGTGTTTCGTCAATCCCTTTGCCAATGCTGAATCTGCTTCAGGCTCACAGAGGACAAAGACTTTGGCAAGCTAAAAAAACCCAACTTTTTTGATTGCCTACTCCTCAGTAACTCTGGGATCTGGTCACCACTAGTGAGGATGGGGTGTTCTACTTTGACCACCCTCGTAGGACCTGCTGGCTCAACTTCTGGCTGCTCCCATCTCCCTTTGCTCATGTATAGAAGGAAGATAAAATTAAGGAAAAATGAGTTTCACCTTTATTGTAGTTGAATTCTTTTTATAATTGAGGTACTGCAATGCTATGAAGAAGATCTAGCAGCTGTGCCCAACTTGCTCTCAGATGGCTAATGCCATTGTGCTAGCCTTGGGCTGCACACCACAGGTTTGCACTAAAACTTAAGCTGTCACATGTCCCACACCCAAGCTGCAGGTGACATCCTGATGTTGGCAGTGTTTCCCCAGGCCCTCTGTCTCCACAGTGAATAGCCCTCAGAACTCCCTGATGGCCTTTTAAATGTAGGAGTCCCTTTAAAGTGTATGTGGATACACAGGCAGTGCCTCAAAGTGACAAACCCTGGGGAAACAATTGGTTTGTGTCACGGATGGAAGGGAGGTGTTGTGTTTGAAAGCATGTGCACTTGCCTCTGTGCTGATAGGGGTGGGCAGGCCCCATCTGGGTACATTGGATGTGGCCACCAGCCCCTCCATGGAGACCCCGGGCATGGGGAAGGGCTGAGGGTGGGAGGGAGGTCAGAGGGGCTGATGGATGGGGATTCTGTTTCACTAGCAGGGGAAGGTGCACCCTGGCCCCAGGGGAGGGAGGGGAGCTGGGAGGAGGTGTGGGAAGGGAATGGTATTTGCAAGCACAGAAGGTCACCACCGGTGAGAAAAGGAAGAAAGTGGCTAATTGCCATGCCAGTCCAGTTCTCCCAGGAGCCGAGCCCAAACGCTTGCAAACAGTATTCCCAGCCTCTAGCAGGTGGGAAGCCCTCAAGGTTTGCATCCTGGCTCCACTCTCCAGAGACAGGTAGACTTAAAAATATCAGCAACAGTCTAGAAAACCACTAGCAAAGAAGTTGGAAAGCCAGGTAGCTGTGAAGAACGGCAGGGTAGAGGAGGAAGGAGGGGGCTGACTTCTGCATGTGTGGAGCAGGAGGAGGAAAAGACACTGCTCAGAACTAATGTCTTGGTTACTTTTACTTTGATGTGGTGCAGAGCTGGCTGATGAATTGTGCCCTGGCCCAGATAGTCAGAGCTCAAGCTAGATGCAAGCTTTAAGCAAGCTGAGGACATCTATATCTGGTGGCAAAGCATTTTAAATTGCTGTCTGTGATTCAAGAACAAGCCAAGCCTCAGCTTTTTCACCACATGTCCCCGCTAGCATTTGTGGAGGACTGAGTATGACTGCTAAGGGGTGGTCACTGCCTGGAGCAGGAGAGAGGAGGGTTGCCCTTTGGACCTGCAGTTACCCCAGGGTGGGGTGGTTGGGTAACCATACCTTAGAGAAGAGCAAGTCATTTTGCACCTCTGGCTGCTAGTCACTGACATCCTCTTTCTCACAAACAGGGGGCTGAAGGGCTTACACTTTCCTCCAGCCCCTGCGCTCCCTCCCCCACCACCTTTAGAATTTGGGAGTTGGATTTTTTCATCCAAAACCTCCAACTTCATGTCAGCCTGACTCCATCTTTTGCTATGGTGTCATCCTTCTAACTTTTTCTAAGGACTTGCCATTTTATAGTAACACATACACATTTGTACATACATAACCTCTCCTACTACAAGAAAGTCTTGAAGAGCCAGCAGATACAGTACTGTGGAGCAGAAGAGGAAGGACACTCTTAAGCCCTTTAAGCCCTGTCATCTCATGGACCATCTACATGGGTTAGTGCATGACAAGATACAAGGCTGGTTGCCAGTCTGTGGTGGGGGTACCCAGTCTCTCAGGCCTGCTTCCACTAGCAAAAAGCTGCCACGACTTCACCATCATGCCCACGAGTAAGGACATCAGGCAGGTGCTGATTCCACTGCAAGGTGCCATGCATGACAGAGGTGTCATATGAGGTGCTGCAAATAGCACACAGCTCCCGCGGCTTCATTTGCCCATCTAGTTGGTGAGGTCAACTGATCCATGAGACTGTGGCTCCTGTTACCTGAGGTAACTACTTTAAAAGTCTGAGGCTGGGTGTTCCCCTATTTTCCATCCAGAAAGTGCTTTCCACTGAAGGCTGTCATTGGTCTCTCCCTGTAGGAACTATGTTTGTGCAAAGTTAGAGGAAAACTCTTCAGCTGTCATTTGAGATATTTAAGGCAGATGATTTAGGCAATTCACAGAAGCTTTCTCCCTGTGAAAAGGCTGTGTAGCTGAGACAACTGAATAATCTGGCCCTGGAGTAGTTATAATTACTTAATATTTTGTGTTGCCTCCCAGCCTGCTCCTCTGCATTTAATCTGTTAATTAGAAGCAGGTAATCAAGGATATGTTGAAAACATCTGCAGCAACTGTTGGCCTCATATTTCCTGCTCTGTCCACCCACTCATCAGCAGAACTGTATCAGTAGAGATCCTGAGCTTACCTTTCTAGGAACACCTCTCACCTGTGTAATGCCATAGCAGCGTGGAGGTGCTGCCTTTGAGTGCAGGCACAGAGAGAAGGTGCCTACCTCACGACAAAGATAGGTTGTGAATTTACACTATTATCAACTGCTTCACAGTAACTCCTCTAGTCTGGAGCTCTTACTCCAAAGCAGATTGAAAATAGCTCAGTGGAGAAGCAACATAGTGTCATCTCTCTTCTTAACCTTGTCCTGAAGGATACGAACTGTTTCTCTCTTGTCTTTTGATTTACAGCAATGCCTTCTCCTCAGCGTTTCAGTGGTGAGAGCATCATCATTTGGAGTGACCTTGACATTACCATCTCTGTGCCCTGGTACATCGGGCTGATGTTCCGAACCCGGAAAGTCAATGGCATGTTAATGCAAGCCAATGCTGGGGCTGCATCCAAGATCAACATTCAGGTAAAAATGTGGCTGCCTTGGGTCAGAAAATAATTAAGAAATCCTCCCCTGTCAGTGGATGTGGCCACATGAACTGTGTAGCTTCAACCACCCAAGTATATGCACACCAATAAACACAAAGTATTTCGTCAGCCATTTAAAAAGATCAGTGATCCGAAGATGATTGTAAAATTCAGATTGTCAACTTAAGATTATTTTTTTAAGCAGAAGTAGTAGTGTACATTAATATACATGCAAAAAATGTGTTGATTATTTTGGGGTTTTTTTTTGTCAGTAGGGTAGTTTAGAGTCTGAGTGTCCAACATGATATGAGGAGTTATTGCAAGTATTCCCTTCTTTACTCTTTGGGCTTTTTTACCTTTTGGGTTGTCTTATGAAAAGTTATTATCTTGCTTTCTGCCCCCTGCCGCATGAAATAGAAATATGTAGCCAAAAATAGACACAATTTTCTTTTTCAACAGATCCTGAACAACTACGTGCAGTTTGAAGTGTACAGTGGCCTGAGCCAGGTTGCTAGTTTGAAGATGAGCCAGTCACGAGTCAGTGATGGGGAATGGCATCATTTATTAATAGAGCTGAAGAGTGCTAAAGATGGTAAAGACATCAAGTACCTCGCTGTCATGTCCTTGGACTATGGGATGTACCAGGTAAAGCAGCAGCTTGACTTTGCCACTAAGCACTACAGAAAGGTTTCTAGGAGAAAGTGGGATAAAGGATTGTGGACAAATGCTTGGGCTGTGCGCCATGTTCTGCAGTGATTTGTGCCTAATGAGGTTATATTAATTTATTAAGCCTAATGACAAGATATCTTATGAACAAGTCTATAAAAAGTCACATTCATATGTCTAGCTCCTCACTGCTTGGATATTTTTTCTGTAATCTACTGTCAGCTACTGCTTGACTCCATCACTACAGAAAGCAGAGTGGCTGTGTCACAGAGGATGATAGCGCTTCTTACAGACTGTCCTTTTCCTCAACAGAGCACTGTGCAGATTGGAAACCAACTACCTGGACTGAAAATGAAAAGCATCATTGTGGGAGGCATCTCTGGAGACCAAGTCTCTGTTCATATGGCTGCATGCAGGTATGAAATGAGAAGTGTAGCAACAAACTTGTAACTCTTAGGAAAATACCCCTGTGAAATGTGGGGGTTTTCATCTATCCCTGAACATTTCTGTTTCCTCCGTCAAAATATCTAAGAATCAAAATATTGAAGTCCACCCACTATCCCAGGTACAAATCTGGTCTCACAACAGAACAGCATTTGAAAAAAAACCAACCTGTGTTTGGCTCATCAGGTGATGTGTCTTTGAAGTGTAGCCTCCTAGATCAATGGAAGTGGTAAAACACATAGTACTGGATTCTGAACAAAGACTCTCATTTTAAAATAATTGTTTTTTGTCACCAGGGAGTAAGAATGGGGGAGACATCTACAAACACAGCTACGCTTAACATGAAACAGGCTATCAAGATCAACGTGAAGGAGGGCTGTGAAGTGGATAACCCCTGTGATTCCAACCCGTGTCCCCAGAACAGCTACTGCAGTGATGACTGGGACAGCTACTCCTGCATCTGCGACCCAGGTAACCTGGTGACCATCCCATGCACTTGTCCAGGAGCTGGATCACATCTTCATGTCTTCATCAGAAGAAGAGCAGCAGCATGCTTAGAAATTGCTCTTCTTCTGATTCTTTCTCTTCCAATCACTATTATCTTTCTTAGTCTTACTGTAGCATCCTTGAAACTGCGGCCATGGACTCAGGATCATTTATTCTGTGCAACATATCAACCAAATAGACAGTCTGGGGAGCAAAAACGCTCTTTCCATGCACCTCCCCACCTTGTCTTTTTGTCTATTTTCTTTTTCCTTTTTTATTCCTTTTTCTTTTCCAGCCTTTTCTGCTGTTGAATTTCAGTCTCACACTCTGCATCCTAATCAAGACACTCTGAATGTTTTCTCTGTTTTGGTGCATGTAGCCAGCACATGCTGTCAGTGCCCAGCACAGTCACCTCCCATACATGCAGGGGGAGAATACAAAACTGTTTGTGACACATGCCCTGAATGTAAAACTGGGAACCAAAGGCACAAAGGTGCCTCAAGTATGTTAACAGACTGTCAGAAAAAAAAAGGTGCACTATATCTTTTTTTGCTGAAAAGGAAAAGAGTTCCTTCTTTCTAGCAGTGTCTCAGGGGGATCTACTGATTATTGAAGATGTGTTGTTAGTGTATAAGCTTAAAATAGATGTAATTTTTTTTCAGACATGCAAATCATAGATTACAATGGTTGCTGTAGTTTTATGACCTTGTCTCCCCAGGGTACTTTGGAAGAGACTGTGTTGATGTATGTAACTTGAACCCATGTGAGCATGTCTCCACATGCATGCACAAACCCAGTTCATCCCATGGCTACACCTGTGAATGTGGACAAAGCTACTATGGGCAATACTGCGAGAGCAAGTAAGACAGTTATTTTTGTTCTTGGCTTCTTCATCCTTCCAGGTAGCTGCTCCAGTTAGCTTTCCTGTTATAATTTGAGTGTTCATAGTAGTCGGTATTTGCAGGCTGCCTGTCCTTGGGCATTCCTTAGCTCTCTTCCTAGAGACCAGGCAAACCTCCATACACTCGGGCCTCTTTTCCTCATCAGCAACTCAGGGGCTCAATTAAGTGTGCTGTGTTACACAGCACTGCATCTGCCCTGTACCTTGTAGTGGGCTTGGCCTCAGTTTGCTCTTCGTCTCTCCTTCAGCTCCTCCAGCATACACCATCTTCCCCAGCACTCACACAGGTGGCCTGTGGCCAAGCAACCTGGCTTTGCAGTTTGGGTCCAGTCCCTGGGCTAGCAAAAAGCCATCTCTTCTGGACAATCTGGGAGGCCTATGTGGTGTTGCTGTGTGGGAGAAACGTGCTGATTCCCTCGTCCCTGGCATCCTGGTCTCAGATAAGCGTTCATCAGCCGGCCTTAGCCCCGAGTCGGTGCTTTGATTTACTGTAGCATGGGCCATTCATGATGTGCAAATGAAGTGAATTTGTCTGCCCATTTAGAAAGAGTTCATGTGCTGTTTCCTTCACTTTGAAAACAGCAAGCTTCTTCCTCTGCTTTTTGTTGTGTGGGCTTGTGAATGTCGGCCGTGCTGTTGCCAGATCCATCTTTCATTCCTCTGGAATTACTGGCACAGTCATTGTTCCTTGTCATTATCTGCTGACATCATGTCATGTATAGCATTGTGGTTTTTTGTATTATAAAGCATAGAAGTGCAAACCTGGCAATTATCAGAAAGAAAATTCAGCATATTCTTTGCATCAGATCTCAGACAGCTTTTCTTTCCTAAAATGAGCAGCAGGAAGGGGATTCCTTGTGCATTATGCTGATCATATACTCAGCAGTGTCATCCTTCTGGCTGTTGCTTCACAAAGACTTGCAGCTAGCAGAGGCCCTGGTCACTGTCCTGACTCCTTCCCTGAGCTCTTTTTGTCAGCACTGGTTTGGGACACAAACCTACTCACAAGCTTATCCAGAAGAAACAGACACAGTGAAAATGAGCATTATCCTTCAAGAGGGGTGGCTTTTGGGTTGCTACACAGCCTGCAATGACGTGTGCTGCTCTCCTTAGTCTGGATCCAAGCTGCTAGCCGTGCCTCTTCCATGTCCCTAGCTATACATCCTCATCCCCTGAGGCAGAGCAGGGCTTTTCCCACCCTCTGGTGAGCTGGCCGAGTAAGCCAGACTGGCTGAACGTGGTGACTTCTGTGTAGGGTGAGCCTGCAGCAAGCTGTGCACCCACACTGGTGTCCCTGTGGGTTGGACAGGCACTTCTGCCCACAGCAGGGCTGGGACAGGACCTCCTGGGGATGGGGGGTGGGATATAAAGTGCTGGGGAGCTGCACCCCAAGGCTGTTTGTGGCAGGAGGTAAACCAGGGCACAGGCTCAGCACCGCCTGCAGGTGCCCGAGCTGTTGAAGTGCTAGCACAGCCCAACACAGGCTGTCCCGCCTGTCCCAGACAGCGCTTTC